AGGGGAGGGGGGGGGAGGAAGGGGCTTAGGGTGGGCTAACCTTGGGCAGCAAGCCATCCTAAGTTAGAGCAAACCAAACCAGCTGACACCAGCACAAGGGCTACCACCTACAAAGTAGGCCTCTGCGGCTCCCTGAACTGACCCAACTCCTCACCATCCGGTCCCCACCAGTCCATGGTGCTGGCAGTCCGGGCCTCCCCTGGACCGTGCTTCCCAGACTTTAAAGGATGAGAGTCTCGTCAATACCGACTTGGTAGATCTGACCCCCGGGTGACGCGGACAGAGCCGCTGTTCCCGGACCACACCCTGGGACCCAGATTCTTACCCCCGGCTTCTCAAAACTCGGGGTGTAGGCAGCTGAAAGCTCCTGGTTTGCTTTTCAGTGGCTCTGGGGGTCAGATCCAGTCTTTTCCGTGCTAGGCAAGTGCTCTCTAGTCCTGAGCTACATCCACCGTCGCCTACTTTTGAAATTTCCAACTTAGTAGGTTTGAAGTAGGGCTCATGAATTTGCATTTCTAGAAAATTCCACGTTGGCAGCAGAGGTTGTGCAGCTTCTGCAAGCATTTGTTCACAAGTGTGGGTCTGGAGCATTATCTCCAGCCCCGGTCCCTGGGTCGGCCCTCCGCACTTGCTCAGAAGGCAGAGAAGCCCCTCCACTCACCCACCGCAGCTTTGACGCTGAAGACATTGAGGGTCTCCCCAGGGCCAGGGAACCCACAAAGCTGAAATTTACCACCTGGCCATTCCACAGAAAAGCTCTGCCAACCTCCGACTTAGACTAGCAGCGTTAAGGCACAACTGGCACTTTGGGGCATTAGTATTACAGGTTTACAGTTAACATAGGAATTTGCCATAAAATTCATATTATTTTGGATTCCTTTAGTGTCTGATTAAAAAAATATATTTATTTTTTTAAAAGACAAGGTTTCCCTGTAGCCTCAGGTGGCTTGAAACTCACTATGTAGACCAGGCTTGCCTCTACCTCCCGAGTGCTGGGATTAAAGGCATATATCACCATGCCCGGCTCTGATTCAAAATTTTAATACCTATAAATTCAAGACTATTTCAAATTGGAGTCTGGTCCTTAGTGCTTGTGTAACAAGGCCACCTTGCATTCGATGCTCAGTCACATGAAATGTAGTCAAAGTCTAATAAACTATTGTACTTGGAAGTCTATGCTGGAGTGCACCTACTTCCACAATCATCCAGCCCTTCACTGGTTTGCACTGTGGGGGCAGCTCCAGAATGTCCAGGTGGTACACTCCGCCCAGAATGGAGAACTGGCACAGGTCCACCTCTTTCTCCTCATTGATTTCTGGCTTTTCCAGAGAATTCTCTATCAGACGCAGCTGTGCTAAAGTGAACCACAGTTAATACAGTTTCCAAACAGATCATGACATTTTTTTTTTTGTATCAGAAGGGAATAAGAAAAATCTCCAAATTGACTGGTAAAGGAAGTTTTTCTTTAGCTATTAAAACTTTGTACACAGTTCTTAAAACTATCCACAGAGCCCACTATGGAAGTCAGACCAGGCATGCAGAATAGTGGCTATGGGAAGGGCTTTGCTTGCAGTTCACATACCTACATTTTTAGGAATGATAAGCATGTATTACTAATAAAACTAATTTTTATAATAAAAATGGTTGGATCCAAAAGTTGATAATTACCAAACCGAGTCCTTAAAACAGGACATTGTAGGACTAAAAATCCAAAGGGGGAAAAAAAGCAAGTGGTGGTGAAAAGTAAATTTTGATCCATATTCTCAAATGAAAGATAATTATTTTGATAAAAATAGGCCCAGCTCATAGGAAAATAGGATGGAAGCTCAAAAGAAAAGAAGGTCCTGAGGCTGAGAACCGGGTGCAGATTCTGTGATGCGGAACCTGGGTGCACAGTCAGAGGGGACCTCTGAAACCCCTCACCAACCTGTCTCTGAAACATGTATGTTAGGAACAGAAAGACCACTCAAGGACTTCACGCCTCATCAGCTTGGGACTTTGTTCAAGAGATGCCAAGGAAACCCATGTGGTGGGGTGCACACCTGTAATCCCAGTACTCAGGGGCGCAGGCAGGAGGATCACTGCAAGTTGGAGAACAGCTTGGTCTCCATGGTGAGCGCTAGCCTAGCCAGGGCTGCACAGCGAGACCCTGTTAAAAAACACACACTGACCCATGTAGTCCCAGTTCTTTCAAGTGTAGAATCCACACAGTATTTGTACCTATGTTACACAGTTTGGAAGAGGAATGAGTTGGTGTGTGAAGAGGTGGCCCTGGCATGCACAGGCATGGGGACTGTTGGTGAGTTGTTACTTTACTGTGTCCGCTCTGGTGAAGTGGAGCAAAGTGGGATGGCTCTGAGCTCAAGCCCTCCAGACTGGGCACCGAAAGTTAACAGAAACAACCAAAGAAAGTCAGGCTAGCCTACGGTCTCTCTTCCTTTGTACATGGTTAATAAATTGCACTCTTTAATTTTAAATGTATTAACAACCTAAAAAGAAGCCAAAAATTCTGTACCCAAATCTCGATGGGGTGACATTTGTCACTCGGAGGTCTCCACACAGAAAAGCTTGGTACTGATGACAGAAGTTCAAGGAACTACTCTAGTATCTTCTCTGGTATAGGCTTCAGAAATGTTATCAGGAGGGGCTGTCTCGGTGGTTAGAGAACATGCCCGGCACGCACAAGCCCTTGGGTTCATCTCCTGCACCACATAAAATAAGGCATGGTGTCACATGCTTATAACCCCAGTACTCGGGAGGTGGAGGCAGGAGGATCAGAAGCTTAGTCATCCTCAGCTACATTGAGGCTAGCCTGCTTTACATGAGACCCTGATTCAAAATAAATAATTAAATTAAAAAACACAAAGATCTAAGTGTGTTAAGGAAGCAGACAGAGCCATGACAAATATGCTTAGAAACAGAAAACAGATCCCTGTGAGGTTAGTGGGGAAGAAGTGTAACGAGGGGGATGATGGAGACGGACAAGCTCAAGTAAAAGGAGGACAAGAGGAACACCAATTGTCTCTGTGTGTCTGTATAGGTGTGCGTAGGTGTGTGTGCATGTGTGCGTGCATGCGCATGCTTGAGGATGTCCATTGTACAGAGAGGAAATGAAGCATCAGTCCATTACCATCAGGGATTTAAACAATGCTCCTCTATTGGGCAGAATGACAGCTGTTTAAGGAATGAAGTTACCGATGTATTCTTAGAGGAATGTCGAGTATTATCTGCTTGTCTAGGGGACATTTTTTTCAAAGTACATAATATAGTATGGCGTGCTTCTCAATAAAAGTATTTTATCTGGCATCACAGTTTCATTAAAGAGGTACAGTGATTGATAACAATCTATCAACACTGTTCACCTCAGGGGAAGGACTGAGGAATTTTCACTTTTACATCTAATTCTGCAATTTCTGAAACGTTATTTGTACAATGGCTTCAATGTTATTAATAAAACCCAGATGCTGTGACAGTAGTACCTGTTGAAACTGCTTCACTTAGCAACGTCATCTCCAGTTCACATTTGTTGACTGTGGTTTCTTCCTCTTCCTGGACAGAGACCTGCAACTGAAAGTGAAATGGTGCGGCCGTCAGTGTGTGTTTCAGCTCTGAGGCCATTGCTTCGTGCCTGCTTACACTTTGGATGTCTGCTGCTTAATTCTGAGGCTCCAAATGGATGTTTGCCTTGGCATAAAACTGGGACACAGGTGTTTTTAGTTTTTACAGGGGTGTTTGTTTTGAGACATTTCATCATGTAATCAGCCTCAGCTGGTCTTGAACTCACACTATAGCTGGGGCTGTCTTTGAACTCACAGCAATGATCTTGCCTCAGCCTTCCAAGCTCTGAGGTTACAAGCATGTGCCAAGGGTGGGTTCCTTTTCTCATCGCTGTGGATGATACCTGACAAGAGGCAACTTAAAGGAAAACGGGTTAGTTCAGATGATAGTTTGCGGGTGTCGTCCATCCTGGCAGGGAAAGACTAAATCTACATCAAGTGGAAGAAAAGAGTACCTGAATTTGAAGGAGATCTTCTGAGATTGTCCATATATGTCCCTCGGCCGAAAAAGAAAGAAGAAAACAAAGGAAAGTGAATAAAGGAAGGAAACGAGGCAAGATCATCTGGACCTTACAGACACCATTTATTGAGAACATCCTTCTTTGAATATTAGTTTTTCTTTTTTAGAAGGGTCCCCATATGTTGCCCAGACTGGGCTCATGCTCACTATGTGGCCATGTTTATCTCAAACCCACTGTCCTGCAATAGTCTCATGTGTACTGGGTTACAGGCACCTGCATTTTAAAGAACACCCGATGGCAAAGAGATAAAGGTTAAGGATGTACAAAGCCATTCAATGAAACAATCAGAAAGCCTCTCTAGTCTTGGAAAATACACAGACACCTACACACAGGAGGCTTATAGAACTCTCACGAAAGGCATACTCAGAAAAGATATTCACCATGGCACACTGACAGTCAAACGGTCAAAAATGAAAGACAAAAATTTTAAATCTGTGCGAACAGATCTGGCAGCCCAGTGAGAACAAGTAGACTTCTCAGCAGAACCACTGTAGGTCAGGAGGGGGTGAATGGTGCACTCTAGGGCCTGGGAGAGAAGAACACCTGAGCAAGACTACTATACCCAGCAAGACTATCCCCACAATGAGGGTGGAAATAAAGTGCTTCTGAATATGCAAGAACTAAGAGAGCTCACAAACCCCAGACCAGCTTTACAGAGATGGTATGAATGTTCAGTATCTGGAAAGCAGGAAAATGGCTCCCATCACGACAGCACACAGGAAAATAGATGCATGGAACAGGAAGAGGACATAGAAGACTCACCCTTTATCAGCATAGTAAACCATCGAACCGCAGAGATGAACCAGAGGAGAGGATAACTAACAGACTAGAGGAGAATCAACAGTGATGCAAACAGGCCATTCTTGTCCATCGGCACCACCGTCTACCTGGTTTCCCAGAATGAAAATGCTGCAAGATGATGTTAAGCTCCAAAGCAGACCCCAGACACAAACACACCCATCTTCCCTCGCTCCTCTGTCCACGACCCCTGGACAGGCCATCACGACCTCTCAGCTGTTGAGGCAGGTACTGGGACTCTGCTCTGGTTACTCAGTGTTCCCTGCACAGTGGCCGGAATGACAGAAGCCATATATGAGGACCCCCTTCTCCTAGTCATAGGCCTCCAACGGCTTCTCCTTGCTTTACAGCCCAACAACTGGGAGGCTCTCATCTGGCTTCTGCCTCTCTCTGTCATCATCACCCCAACTGTCCATCATACCTCAGGGCATGGCCCTTCTTCCTGGACCTCACTTCTCCATGTAACCCTTGTAGCAGCTGTGACCTAAGACAGGCATTTTCACTGCAGTCATTGGCTAGTTCCTTCTGGTCACTTGGGTCTGAAGGACCACCTCACCAGACAGGCATCCCTAACCACCCAATCTAAAGTCAGCTAAATTCTGTGAGTGGCATTTATTACTCTGGTGTTTTCTATTTTTAAATGATTTATAATTGGCTTCTCCTGGGCTGTCGAAACTTAGAAGAGAAGAAGTTCATGTGTCTTCCACAACTGACTGCTGAGGGCCAGAATGGCACCTCCCCTGCAGGAGTAGGCCTCTGGCAAGTTTCTGCTGAGGAAGGAATACAGTCTAGGACACAACAGTGGAAGTGGACCCAGAAAGCCAATTTCTGGAAAGTTGCAGATTGTTCAGTGTTAAAAGCATTGATCTTTTTTCTTTTTTCTTAAGATTTGTTTATTTAGGACCAAGCATGGTGGTACACGTCTTTAATCCCAGCAGAGGCAGGTAAATCTTTGAGCGTTCAAGGTCAGCCTGATCTACATAGCAAGCCTCAGGCCAACCAGGTCTGCAAAATGGGACCCTGCTCCAAAAAAATTTTTTTATATTATGTGTGTGTGCCTAAGTATACACATACATACACACACACACACACACACACACACACACACACACACACACTGGGAAGGGAGTTAGACTCCCTGGAGCTGGAGTTACAGGCAGTTGTGAGCAGCCATGTGGGTGCTGGGAACCAACCTCAGGTCCTATGCAAGAGCAGCCAGTGCTCCTAACTACCAAGCCATCTCTACTGATGCTAGTTTGTTCTTTTTTTAAAATAAGGGTGATCTTCATGAATTTGAAGTTTATTCACCATGATTCCAGGAAGTCTCCAAATCTCTCTGCTGTCTCTTGGATCCACATCTTCCTCTCCCACTTACAGATCGACTTCCTTTCCTTTTACTGTGATTCTCCGTGACCACAATAGAGATCCAACCCAAATACTGTAGTATCAGGGAAAACTTCAATCTGTTGTTTTGATTTTGGATATTTATATTTATGTGTATATATTGAAACAGAAATACAGGCATATTATAATTCACATTTTTTTTAGTAGACAGATGGGCAGAAAAACACAAAATTAACCACTAAAGCAGAAGTGAACACAAACTTTATCAAATAATCTTTTCTCATAAGTTAAACTGAAGAAAAACATCTACAATTTTAGCTAAGGAAGCTATTAGAGTAAGGTGTGTCCCGGTTCCAGGACAGCTGAAAGACTTTGGTGGTATCCTTTGTCTCTTAACCCTCACACACCATATTCTCAGTGTACCTATCAGTGTATATGTTAACTGTGACTCCCCTCCATAAGACAGCTCACTAAAAATAAGATCATTGGGCTGGGAAGGAAGCTCAGTTAGTTGAGTGCTTGCCCAAGCATGCAAGAGGCCCTGGGTTTAATGCCCAGCACTACATAAACCAAGTGTGGTGGCACGTGCCTGTTATCCTAGCACATGGGAGGTAGAGGCAAGATAGAAGGATCAGAAGTCCAAGGCCAGCATCAGCTACACCACCACTTGAAGCTAGCTGATGATACGTACACCGATACAAAAAACCCCTCAAACCAGACAATAAGATCTCCATGATCACTCAGTGGTAGAAACGTAGCATAGCATGCATGAGGCTCTACATCAATCTCCAGTACCAAGCACACACATGCACACATGCAGACACGTGGAGACACACATGCAGATACACACATGTACAAGACACACAAACGCACACATGCATAGACACATGAAAACACATAAATGCACACACATACAGACATATGCAGATGTACATGTACACATACATGTAGACACACATGCATGCATGCACACATGCACAAAGCACACATGCATGTACACAGACATGTGAACACACATGGTCACATATACACTCACGTGTGTACACATTACTGACACATGCAAACACACACATACAGGTACAGATGCACACACACACATATACACACACAAAATGGGCCATCAAGATGACTCAGTGGGCACCTGCTACCAGTCCTGGGGACCTGAGTTTGATCCCCGAGACTCACATAATACAAGATTCAACTCCTCCTGACCTGCAGACACTGGCATAGACACTCGAATACACACTAAATAAACACATGTAAAAAGAAGCCCCAAACATCGCACCACCATCCTAACCATAAAACAAAGAAAAGCCCCATGGGATCATGGGAGTTCCTTGCAGCAGGTGCTTAGCAAGGGGTTGACAAACACTTTAAGTATATATAGTGCTTATTTTAAATCTCATCTCTGTCCAGGTTTTCCTTCTTAAGTTGAATTATTTCAACTACTTTACCTTGAATGTGTGCTTCTTCCTCAGGCCATAAAATGTTTCTGAAAGTAATGACTATTTTAAAAGACTCTCCTAACTCTGCTCAAATAATGCCTTTCTATTTTGTACTGGGTACGAAATGGAAGTACAATACCTGCAATATTTGTAAAATGCATTTACATCAATTAAGATAGACTATGAAGAGCCCTCTAGTGGCCAGGTTCTTAATACAGGCTCAAGAAAGAACACCCTCTGTCACCTCTTAATTAATATAAGGGATTTAATTTTAAATTCACCAAGTGTGATGGTTACTCTGCACTGTCAACTTGACCATATCGGAGTCGCGGGGGAGGAGCAGCTCTGGATTATCTGAGGTCTTTTCCAGAGAGGATTCACAGGAGAGGAGACCCACCCTGACATGGGGTCACCATTCCATGAGTTGGGTCCCAGTCTAAATAAAAGGAGAAGGAAGAAGCCGAGCACTGACATTCCTCCCTCTCTCCTTCCTGTGGGGAGACAGCGGCCTTCCCCACCACAATGGATGGTGTCCTTTCAGATCATGAGCCCAGACAAACCTTTCCTTGAGGTTTTAAATGTGTATGGGGGGGGGGGTCAGATTTTTTTGTCACAGCAATTAGAAAACTAATACATACCTGGTACCAAGGGGTGGGGCTGCTGCTACTGTAGACCTGACATGGTGTCCAAAGCTTTTGGAGTTGGTTTGGGAGAGTGTGGGCGAGTGTGGGCGAGCATGAGCAAAGTTTGCAGCTGCAGGGCTGCAGAAGCCCTAGAAGGCCATAAGGAGAGCGCACTGGGCCATCCTCCTGTGAGTTTGGAAAGCTACTATGCGGAGAGAAATGCAGAGACAGGGAGCTCACGGGTTTCAGAGGGAAGGAGGACTCTGTTGGAAACTGGGCTAGAGCACTTATGTTACATTCCAGCCAAGAATTAGGCTGCATTCTGCCCATTTCCTGAAAATCTGAGTGAGGCTAAACCCAAAAGTACTGAGCTAAGTGGTCTGGCAGAAACTTTGAGACAGTGTAACATCCAGACTGTGGTGGCCACTGCTCATTCCTAGAGCCACAGGGAGTGAAGCAGTAGGATGTGGAAAGGCAGAGTTTGGCGAGGAAAGAAACATGTTTGAAGGTACAGACGAGGAAGGTTGAGAGAAAACAGTGCCAGGTGTCCAAGAGCTGAGAGCCTTTGAATGGAAACCCAGTGCTCTCACTGGAACAACGGACAGGTGCCCAGCAGAGGACCCAGCCATCAAAGGTGCCCACTCTCCTCCCACCCAGGCTCCACTCAGGACTGTGCGCATCCTACATCTGTCATTCTTAATCATGTAAACTTTCCCGCAATGCTGCAGGGAGGCTGGAGGAAGGACTGTGCACGTAGGTGAGCATGTCCACGTAGGACTCCTAGAAATGCCTCTCCTCATCAATGTTAGTCTCATCTTTTAAGCGATCACACTTTTCTGTGTAAGTCACCTGATGACAATGATCCTCCACTCACAATTCCTGCCCAGGTTTCCCAAGCTCTGGAGAAGTCTGTTCACCTGTCACAAAGCAAAATTCTTTCAACTGCAGGGTTTCTGGACTGCTGACTCAAGTCCTCCACAGACCATGCACTGAGCCACCCAAGACTTTCCCTGTGGGCTTGGTGGAATTTAAGGCAACACTGACGTCTTCAATCCTCACACCAAACTCAAAGCACTCAGTGTAGCATTGAACAACCCCAAAAGCAGATGTGGCTTAACTGTATTCTCCAGGGCCGCTCAGACAGAGGGAGCTGTCAGTCCTTCCAAGTTCAGAGAATGAATCAAATGCCCATTGGAATAGGGGACAGACCCGAACACACACATGGCCTGTCAGCACTGTCGTAAGTTCCTATGCTTAGGCTTTTAATCCAAAAATATTTCCAAGGTCTGGAGAGATGGCTCAGTGGTCAAGAGCGCATATTGCTCCCATAGAGGACCAGGGTTCAGTTCTCAGCACCCACACTGGGTAGCTCATAACCATCTGTAATTCCAGCTCCAGGAGATCTGATGCTCTCATCTGGCCTCTGATTTAAAAAATCCCATTTCCAAAATTAACAAAATGATATATAGTGACCCCATGAGGCCTGCTGTAACAAAGACAGAATTTCTTAAGCTGTGCAAATTCAAGTCATGATTCAAATTACATGGTTTCTAATTCTATGGGAAGTGGATGGGTGGGTACATTCTGCATGCACATGTGGAAGTTAGAGGACAACTTATGAGAGTTCTCTCCTTCCACCATGTAGGACCCAGGAATTGAACTCAGATCTATCAGAACCTTTACCCACTGAGCCATCAAGGCCCTAATTCACATTTTTATTTCAAATTTACATACATACTAATCCTTAACTCTCTTCTGCTTCATGTCTTTATGCTCCTATTTTAGTGCTTCCTAAAATATGAGTGGGTTACAGCAAAAAAAAAAAAAAAAAAAAAAAAAAAAAAAAAAAAAAAAAAAAAAAAAGTGCCTTAGTACTGAGAGAATGGTCATTTCTAAGGAGAGCTTATCTAACATAATAAGTACGTGTCTTGAAAATCCCGGCAATTGAAAATGAGCAGAAACTGATCAAGGACCTGTGGTTATGTTTTCTGTAGTGTGTGCATGTAACATGTGTGCCTGAGTGTGTGGTGTGTTGTATGTACACATAAGCACACGGGCACAGGCATGAGGACAGAGAAGGATGCTGGGTGTCTTGCTCTATCACTCCCTATTCCCTTGAGAAGGGGCCTCTCATTGAACCTGGGGCTAAGCTGGTGGCCAGAAACCCCAGGCAGCCTCCTGCCTCTGTCCTCCCACAGCAGTAGTTACAGGTGTGTGTGCGGCCATACCCCATTTTTCCTGTGGGAGCTGAGACTCGAACTCGGGTCCTCATGCATAGGCAGGTTGCAGTTACCTGCTGCTCCATCTCCCAGCCCCAGGTCAGTGGTTATTAAACTGCATAAGTAATTCATTTAAGATGGCAAGCTCTCGGGGAGGAGGGCAGAATCCTAAGGAAATCAGCTCTTACTTTATATAAACCCTTGTTTACAAAACCAAATGCTGAGAAAGTGTCAGTATCTGCTGCAAACCCTCCAGTTTGTGATGTCTCTGCTGCCAGCATTTGGAGAGCTGCAAGTCCCTGGAAGGAGCACAGATGTGCAACATTCCAAGATCAGCAGGAATGACATGACAGATTCAGGATGCCAAAGCCACAGCTCAGTTGTCAACACTGACCAGAGACCACAGCGCCAGCAGGAGGGGCTTTAGACGCTGAGTATCATCTGTTCAGGAGAAATCCTGCAGCACCTCAAGGGAACCGCTAATGCTTCCTGCACACAGAAAGAATGTCACGCTGGGCCCTGTGACTCACACCTCAAATCCCAGCCCCTGGGAGGCTGAGGCAGGACGGTTGCTGTTAGTTTGAGGCCAGCTTGGGCTACTTAGTGAGTTCTGGGCCAGCCTGGCTATAGTGTGAGACTCTGTCATGAACAGATGGACGCCAGACAGACAGACAGCGTGTCCTACCCTGTGGATTAGGGTGTCCTCTTCAGCCTCCACTTTGGCCTCCTCCTCTTGGATTAAGCTGAGTCCTCTTTCTTGTGTGGGATCCAGCTGGTCACCCTGCTTCTCGGGCATTTCCAGAGTGACGGCCTTCTCTGCTGGGGCAGCTTTCTCTGTCATGGCTTGGCTCACTCTGAAAGGCTCAGTTTCCACGGGGATGTGCTCTTGCTCTACTGGGGCTGTGACGGGGTACGGCGGGAATGGGGTGACATGATCATAACGAGTGTGCAGGAGCCGCAGGGCGATGTTGCTTGTGGCTAGGAGTCTTGGAATTTCAAACCCGATCTGTGTCTCTGAGAATTTCACACTTCGGCACCTGCCAGTGAGTCATGTTAACAAGGAGGGGACCCAGGTAAGCTCTGGGTACATTTCACACCTGCCCTAAGGGCTATTTTACGTCCCCTTGTTCTAAATCCACAAGGACCGGCTTGTTTCTCAAACACTCTGTGGAGTCCCCCTCACGTCTCCTTTGTGGTGGCAACTCCCGTCTCCTCCAGGTAGCCCTCTTCCTAACACCCCTTAAACGTGGGCCTACTCGGTGCTCCAGCCTAGCCCTCCTCGTCTGCCCCAGTGTACTCTGCTCTAGCTGACCACTTTTGCGGCCTCAGTCACTGCTGATGGGTCTCAACACCAGTTTTGTTTTCTCTGGGCTACAGTAGGAGGGGTGACGTCCCTGAGTGACTGACAAAGGTTCAAGTAAGCCTTCCGTGTGTGACTGTATTTGATTACTTCACTGCAGAGGAATTTATGACATCCCAACAGTGATAAGTGCTGTTACTTCTCCAAACCTACAGGACTTCAGATTTCTGTCTGCCTCGGTACCTTAGAACTTCAAACTCAGCCCTCCAGCACCGAATTCCTCCTTGCAAGCCCCTCCCCCATCATTCTCAAGATCAAGCCGAACCTCCGTATCCCTCACTCTTCTTACACCTACAGAGCACAGAACGATTTCCTCATGTTCTTTTCAAACTATCAGACTATGCAGGTTAGTTCCCCTAACTCCTTGGTGGGCAACATACTCTACAACTGAAGCTGACGCACTGTCTTGGAGTAGACTGGAATCCCACCGCTTTGTCGTGAATGGTCTTGGGAAATATTTCATTCTTGCCTTTTACTAAATATCAGAAATAAAGCTCAGCTTGGTACATTCTGGTAATCCCAGCACTGGGGAAGCTGAGGCATGAGGACGGCAAGTTCAAGGCCAGCCTGGGTGACCTAGCAAGATGCGAGAGGGTGTGGGGGAGGGAAAAGGTGGGGGGAGAGAACATGACCAGTATTTTCAGAGCCAGGACCAGAGCCTATACTTCCTAACTTTTTGCTGGTAGTTCATCCCTGAAATCCAGTCATACTAGTTAATTTGAAGTATTAAGTCCCACGTATCGACCAAGGGATTAGGAACTGTCATCGCTGTCAGGCTGCTTTGCAGACCAGGGAAATACCACACAGATGTCTAAACAACTAGCCAATGAGCATCTATTATTTTTGACAGTTCACAAGTCAAACAACTGAGCTCCGGTCGCCACGTGTAAAGTTCCTTCCACTCCTACTCTGGGGAGAGGAGCACTGGGTGAAGGGCAGGCTAGAACCCAACAGCCACTGGACCAGACTGGATCTGGACTAGACCCCAGGCTACCATGGCTCCGCACATTGACGCATAAGCCTCAAGCCAGCACCACCAAGTCAAGAACCATAATCACCGTTTTCTGAGGCCCTACTGAAGCCCACTCAGCAAGAGTAAGCAGTTCCCAAGGTGAGAAAGGCCAGTGGAGACAAAAGCCCGGCTGGCCGACTTCTAACGCCAGCTTTCCCACCTGCCACAGGGCCTGCCTGCTGCATCTGAAAGAACCAGTGGAGGTACCTTGGATTCTTCTTGAGGTTGGCCCACATGTACAGGGTGACGTTCTCATCTTGAATGACTTTTTCCATATTCCCACTGTCCAGATCTGCCAAGGTACTAGCGTGCTGGGAGAGAAAACGGAAAACATTACCAAGTGCCAAAGCGTGATAAAATTATATAACTTAGGAAAGTTGCTCATCACTCATAGACGGGGTTCCTTTTATTAATTTGTTTAAGGACTAATCCAGGTGAAAATAAGTTTCAATCAAAGTGGCAAATAATTCTTTAAAAAACAATAATCTAGGAGCTATGGAGACGGCTCAGTGGTTAAAGTGCTTGCCACATAAGAGGGAGGCCCAGAATCTGGATCTGAAGAATCCAGGTAAATGCCAGGTAGGCACGGTGGCTGCCTGTAATTCCAGTCTGGGGAGGTGAAGACAGGGGGTCGCAGGAGCAAGATGGCCCCCGAGGCTAGCTCTATTGGTGAGGTCTGGGTTCAACTGAGATTCCCCAGGCTGAAGACAGGGGGTGGGGCACAACCAAGGACAACATTTGATGTTAGCCCTGGGCCTCCACACACGTGCGCACACGAGTGTACACATACATGCATGCACACCACATATACACATGTGCGACAGTAAAAGATCAGGCTCAGTACAATAGCCCAGCCTGCCCTTTCCCGTTGCCTACTCCAGATCTGGAGCCGGCCACGTTCTCCTGTCCACGCCATCTCTTCTTCCCATGCCGTAATTGTCACTTCTGTGAGGTGCTGGGGATCGAACCTAGGGTCTCTCACAAGCTAGGCGAATGCTCTAGCACTGAAACACACCCCCACTTTCTCTGGTTGTCGTTGATGCGGTAAAATCTGGCTTGCACCAATATCTCTATTTTAAATTTAATATAATATACAAAAGGTGAGAAAAAATTGCTGCATCTATTTTCTCTTAAAAATCTTAACCAGGCACAGTGGCACACATCTTTAATCCCAGCACTTGGGAGGCAGAGGTAGGCAGATCACTGTGAGCTCGAGGCCAGCCTGGTCTACATAGTGAATTCTACACAGTGAGACCCCATCTTTAAAAAAAAAAAAAATAACCTACAAAAAACTCAAAATAAAAATCTTGATTACTAATAATCACATTTCTTTGCCTTACAACATAATAGTTGTATGTATACCACCACTAAGGAGAATCTCAGTGAAAGATACCTATTCTAAGCTCTCATCACAGTACTTTCCAAACTCAGACTCTACCCCACCAATGTTATCCAAACTGTGTTCTAGACCAAAAGAAACCAAGACATCAAACAGACAAAAGCAACGTATGCCTGACAATCAAGTTCTGATTCAAAAGACAGAAACAATTAAAACATCTATAAAAGCCATTCATGAGGCATTTTGAATACGCACTGGATGCTACAATTATAATTATAATAATATAATAATATAAGATATGAGATATTCGGGGGTGAAATACCATAACACTGAAACTTCTGAATGGTGCAAGTGAAACAGATTTAAAAAATGATAAAGGGGCTGGAGAGATGGCTTGGCGGTTAAGAACACTGACTGTTCTTGCAGAAGACCCAGGTTCGGATCCCAGCACCCACATGGCAGCTAACAACTGTCCATAACTCCAGTCCCAGGGGATCCAACAGCCTCTTCTGACCTCCATGGGCACTGTACGACACCGGTGCATTTACCTACACGCAGGCAATACACGCATACACATAAAATAAAAATAATGAATAAAATAGTTTAAAAAATGATAAAGCATTTAAAAACTTGAATTTTATATGTTATTAAATGAAGCAGAAAATTTATTGTCTACATAGAAAACATACGATTCATGGTATTGTTCTTTTCAAATATTTTTTGATTTTTATTTTATGTGTATGAGTGTTTTGTCTGCATGTGTGTAAGTGCATCCCTGTCATGCAATGCCTCTGGAGGTCAGAAGAGGGCATTAGGTTCTCTGGAACTGGAGTTACCGATGGTTCTTAGCTGCCATGTGGGTGCTGAGAATCGAACCCGGGTCCTCTGTAAGAGCAGTCAGTGCTCTTAACTGCTGAGCCATCTCTCCAGCCCCATCATGGTACTACTAATGGCACTGTTTGTGGTGCTATTCAGGGTGCTGGTCATGGTACAAGTCTTTTAACCTCATGGTCACACATACTTATCAAAATAAAAATTAGAGAAAAAATAGGATGCCAATAATTGTAATGTGTGTCAATTGATCTAGAGTAAATATCTAATGTTACTTTGTGAATTTCTTTATGAATTCGGTAAATTTTAGCAAGTATAAGAAAAACAACCTTATAGCTACCTGATAATGTTTTGTCTTTTTTTTTTTTTAATATTTTTTGAGGCAGGGTCTCCCTGTAGTCCCAGCTGACCTGGAATTCTCTATTTAGACCAGGCTGGTCTTGAACTCACAGCCTAGGACTGCTGGGATTAAAGGCGTGTGCCACCACGCCTGGATTGTTTTGTTTCTTTAACAGTTGCTAAAAATAACATGTGCTTTATTTCATTGCCTTTTCTGACAGTTTTAATTTTTTTAAGAAACGGGCAATACTGGCTTGTTGCATACTGTAAGGCTCTAACACTTGTCAAAGTTAGTACATTAGGAAAGTGTCCCCCATACTCCGAGAAGAAGCTCTGTGGCAATGTTGAACTTCAGATGGAGGAGCTCCTGAAGTCGGAGAATCGACCCTTGGTGGTGTTCTATAGTTCTGTCTGGCAGATCGCATGATGGAGTTTCCAATAAAGTTAGCTTTAGCTTCTGAATGAGCTATAAGGTAAAAGAATGTTCAAATCAGTCAACTGAAAGAGTCAAAGGAAACGCAAAAAAGGGTTGACCCGTCACTTTCCACTCAAGGAGCATCTTAGTAAAAAGGATGAAATTCTTTCCTGTATTTATTCTACAATTTAAGATCACAGAGAAATGAAGCACTTAGAACAACAGAAAACAAAATAAAATTCCCCTTTGCTTCCATCTCTGTGTGGGTCAAAGCTTTCAGTAAAGGAATCACAACTCACGGTTGCTTAGGAACTGTGGGTCAACAGCAATGTATTAGTCCATTTTCTGTTGCTATCACAGAACACAATGGCTTTCTTTGGTGCTAGGGAGTAAGAAACTGTTCTTGGTTTTCAAAATAATCTGTCTTAAACTATGGCGAGTCTTGCTAGTGTGATGACTCTAGAGGATGGGGGTTCCTACAGAAACAAGGTAGCTATGGAGCTGGAAGCTAGAGCAGATGTCCTGGCCTTGAGGATTGACTTAAATCATGTCTACATGATGAGGCACCCACAGAAACCCCAGACAATGGGGCTCAGGTAGATTTCTGGCTGATAAAGACATTGCTGAAGATAGGACCTCAGAACTCACATCGCCACCTCGCCTCTGTCCGCTGTGCCATTCTAACAAGATATCACCTCTGAGAAGGGAGTTGTGGGATCCCTATTTACAGTTGGTTGCTCATAAGTACCAGTAACCTGAGGTACGACTGGAAGGTGCACACAGATTTGTAGGATCATGCCCTCAGCATGCAGGGGCGACGTAATCTCTCAGTAGTTAGTGTCGGCATCAAACTAAATGATACCCAGCTGGTGTCCAGAGAATTGGAAAAGAGGTGGGTGGGTGGGTGTGTGGGTGTGTGTGTGTGTTCTTTGGTGTCAGGAATGCTGTATCAAGATAAGTCTTACTTCTTGAATTGTGCTGGACTTCCTGATTTGGGGATTCCTATCTTTCCACTCTGGATAACTGTGTCTGTGACTGCCGCCTCACTCTACCCTGTCCTGCCCTTCCGCCTTGCACACCTTCACTCCTCTTCCTTCTTCTCTCTTCATGCTGTGTATCCTCAAATTCTTTGAGGCTAACTTATTCATTTGTGTTTAAGGAGTGCCAGTGGATACATTTATCAGCTAAAAATGAGCCAAACATCTTTTCTCGTCTTTTGCAGAGTGTATTTTCCTGATATTCACAGTAGTTTGGGATTCCTGGCTATCCCAGTCTCTCTTGTTCTGACCTTGGCTTTGCCCTTTGATGGCCCTTTAAGATAGTCTGAAGCCATGAGGCATTAGTAGACACTATCTGGGAACTCTCACTTTCTGACTTTTTCTATGGCCTAGAGCATTCTCCTTATTTATTTTATAAACTAAACTATATAAAGTCATTCAAGTTTCCTCAGTAGTTTAAAGTACATTGTAGAAACTCCTACGGCTATCCATCTTACTTGTAGACACGGACGTTAGAATATTCTTATTTATCTTTAAGCTCCCAGTGCCTACGAAGCAAACAGGAACAAGGCACTGCCATACACACGCAACACTCACAGTGAAAGCCATTGTTTTATGCACCAAAAAGGTAACTTAAAAATGTCTACTCAAACAAGTTATGGCACTGAAATAGTGGTCGACGTGTTAGATTTCTGTCTCTGTGACAAAACACTTAAAGGCATCAGCTTATGAGGAGGAGAGACTCATTTTGAGTCTGTTTTAGAGGTCTCAGTCCCTGTTGTGTGGCTCTGTTGCTTTCTAGAAGGCCGGTGGGTGGGAAAACAGAACATTGCTGCAGGGAACAGAGCTGGGAGGAGCTAACATCCCCTTCCGAACGCAGTCCCAGTGATCTGATTTCTTTCCACCAGTTCATAGCCCCCGAGAAGTCCCACCACATCCCAAATCGCACCATGGGGGCAAAGCATTTAACACACAGACTTTTGGGGCTGAGGTGGTGCTTAAAATCCAGATGATGTCAGTTGGGAATGAAAACCATCCACACATCTCCAAGCTCTTTATATTACACATACGATTTTTTTTTTTTTTTGCTTTAGACAGAGAAATACATATTTCAGGTTTATGTTATGTTATAAGATAGAAAGGGGTAAGAGTTGTAAAAATAACGATTGGAAAGATTACCTGTCTCTATGGTCCAGAGTTCAGAACTACTTGTGTCATGAATTGGCAAGGACTTAATTTTTGGTTTTAGAGTATCGACCTGTAACTTGAGTCACACTTCAGGGCGAAGCTGAGGTACTTACAGACAGCACTAGTTTGCTTTTCTCGATCACTTGCTCGAAAGTCTCTTTCGTTTCCTCTTCCCACAAGCTAATGAAAGTGTTCATCTCTTGGGGTACTGAGGGATCGGGGCTCCCGTCACACTGAATGTAATGCTTCCACTGGGGAATAAAACGTGAAAGGTCACACTTACGAAGATGCCGCCGAAGATGAAGTCACTTTTGAAAACTGTATTTTTCTATGTGGGGGTGCATGCACACTATGGCGTGTGTGTGGAGGCAGAGGACAACTTGCAGGAGTCAGTTCCCTCCTTCCGCCTAAGGATTAAACTCAGGTCATCAGGCTTAGTGGCAAGCACCTTCACCCACTGAGCCATCTCACTGTCCCTAAATTACATTTTGGGAAGTCTGAGTTCTAAATCCATTTTTTCCCAGTTTAAAAGCAAAACAAAACAAAAACACTATGGATGTTAACCAGTAACTTGCTGTAAAACATATAACCAACTAAATAAACCAACAAAAACCACCAGCTCTCCCCTCATCGGATTTCCAATCTTCATCATTTGGCTGGGCAGAGCTGTTTAGATCCTCTGGCTTGGATTTGATTTGCTTTACATTGCTTTCCTGTCTACTCACAGTGCTTATGTCTAGGGGCCAATATTTGAAGTCATTTCTTCCCCTTTACTAGTTACTGTCCCACTGGCATTTTGGGAGTCCTCACCTGTCAGCCACACAAACTTGATGTTGTCATCGCACTGTGCTTACAATTTTAAAATAAAAAGGCCCACATGCTTTACTGAAAGGTTTCCAGTTTTCTTCTAATACTTGGTCCCCATTGTTTGTAAGGTCATGCTTTTTGATCAAGACCAAACTGACTTATAGACATTTTTGTTGTTGTTGTTCTTTGAGACTGGTTCTCCCTGTAGCCCCAGCTGATCTGGAACTTGCTATGTACACCAGGCTGGCCCAGATCTCACAGGGATCTGCCTGCCTCTGCCTCCAGAGTGCTAGGGTTTAAGGTGCACACCACCCTGCCCGGCTCTTACACATCTTTATGTTCTGATGATTTCATTGTTAAAGTTATTGATCGCTTGCTTGTGTGAGTGCACGTGTGTGGTGCCCACGGTGACAGACGAGGGTTTGGGGTCTTTATCACTGTCCACCTTTCTCTTTGAGGCAGGGTCTCTCCTTGAACCTGGGGCTCACATTTTCTGGGCTGGGCTAGAAGCCAGAGAGCCCCAGTGGTGCTCCCGTCTCTTCCTCCCGCTCAGAGCTGGGGTTACAGGTGTTTGCAGGGCCGACCAGCTCGTGCCATCAGAACTCTTGACCCCAGGACCGCAGAGCTCCTCACCACTGAGCCATCCCACCAGGCGTGCCGGTTTGCTCAGGGCATGCGCCCAGTCCAAATCCAGAATTTCCCACAAATTTTATTCAACACATTTATTTTGTGAAGACGAATTTTCTATGTCAGTCTTTGGCAGCTTCAAACTTTTCCCCACGGCTTCCTCCCGTCCCCCACTGCAGAACGAAGAGCCCGGGCCTTGGCCCACCTGGGCTTCCCCTGGGGCGTGCTGCAGGGGCTCGGCCTCCTGTGGCCACAGGAGAGCTCCACTGCCTGCCACGCACCTCGTTCCAGCGCCGTACCTCCGCAGAGCTTCTCCTTAGCGTGTCCAGAGCCCACCTTGACTTTGAACTTGCCTTTTTCTCCAGGCTCAATCATCTTGAGCTTCTGACTGAAGTGAGGGGAGGGGCGTGCAACGAGTCCGGTCACCGCAATGCCTGGAGCCCACTCCAGGGCTGTGCACCGGTCTGACTGCATCGCTGCTGGACTCAGGGGTGAGGGAGGTTGGGGGAGGACCGAGAGAGAGAAGAGAGAGGGGATATGGGGCAGCCAACGCACACATTTACCGCTGAAGCAAGTCCCCGCACTCCCAAACAAAGAGCGCAGTGACATCTGACGCACGGATTGGCCGACTGCCACACGTGTCACGAAAACGATGAAAGTGAAATAGTGTGAGAATTGCCAAAATACAACACGGGCGTGAAGTAAGCACATCCTGCTGGAAAACGGTGCTGATGCGGGGTTTCCACAGACCTCCGATTATAGACAAATCAAAACCGCAGCGTCTGAGAAGAGCAGTGAACCGAGCTCGTGTGGAGTCCCAACACCTGCACCAGCCGGGGGTAGCAATGCACAACTGCTGACAGCGGCTTTCTACAAAGTTCTACCAATGTCTTCTGCCGAGGAATGTGTTTATCAAGCCAGAAATTCTGTTTTTCGGAGACAGGGCGTCCCTGTAGCTCCAGCTGGCCACAACAGATGACCTCCATTTCACAGAGAGCCACCTGCACCTGCTTCCTGCTGGGATTAAAGGTGTGCACTTCCATCAAAGGACTGCGAGCTTCCACGTGCATACTGGGACTCAAACCCAGGTCCTCTACAAGAACAGGAAGTGCTCTTAACAGCTGAGCTGCCTCCCCAGCAAAGACTTAAAGAAAAAAATAGATAAATTTAAAGTTTCCCCCAAACCAAAATTGGATCAGGCTACAATTTCCTGGTAATTACAGAAATAAGAGCTCAAGAAAGGAAATAAAATCGGTCTCACCTTGGAAAGGGCTCTGGTGTCTCGTTTTAGCTTCTCGGCTTCAGGAAAGCAGCCCTCCAGCAAAGAGAGCTCTTCAAGCTCCACATTTCTCCTTCCTAGGTCCTGTCCCATAAGGAGAGACATCGATTTGCTCTTTTGTTTCCGTTCCATGTTTCACAAGTAACATCTAGAATTTATTTGGCTGAATATATAGTTTCAAAATAAGCAGTTAAATTCATTTGAATAAAGCGGATACTACCAAGACATTCAAACGGGTTTCCTGAGCGCAGACTCCAGACTCTCCCATTTCTAGGGACTGAGGTCTGTTTTCCTAACACTAAGATACTATTTGTCCTGATGCTGCTTTAGCACAGATCACAGCGCCCGTCCCAATCTGCACTAACTTGTCAGGTGGCACAGGGAGGGGGTGTGACCAGCTTCGTGAGAGACCGTGCTGGTGAAAGGACAAGTTACAGGTTCTACTGGACCCAAACCCTGAAAACGTGTATTTTTAATACTTTGTGTGAAGAACAGGAAGCCAGCAACGTGCTCCTCTGTCACGTATCAAAGGCCGTGCTGTCCTGAGGAAACATTTGCACAGGTAATTATTTGAGCACTGGGGCAGACACACTGCAAGGAGAACTGAACGCACCGCGACAAGGGTACACCTCAACATTTGTTTTGAATGACAAGATTCAAGCAAAAACTTAAATAAATCCTACATCTGGTGAATCATTAGCTTCCGATTTGATTGGCAATGCCATTAACATGGGGACTTCTCCTTTGAGACACGGTCTTTCTATGCAGCCCCGGCTAGCCTGGAGCTCACTAGTAGACATCACACTCAAGAGATCTGCCTGCTTGTCTTCGGAGTGCTGGGATTAAAGGAGAACACCACCGTTCCCAACACATATATCCAGTTGTCTTCTGCTGAGGTGGATGTACAGAGATTTAAAAACTAGGAGCAATGCTATTCTCTTCCTAACTAAAAACCTGGATACAAATGTCATTTGTTTGTGGTAGGACTGGGCTGGGCCAGTCCACAGAGGACTAGATGTTACTGGTTGCTACAGGCCGAGGACACAGCAGACCTGATAGCACAGAGCTTAGTCTTTAGTAGGACTCACTGAGGGTCAGTCACCTTTACTTCCAGTCGATGCCATTTCTCTTTCTCAGCCCGCTCTGTCTCCAGTCTTTCCAGTTCTTCCTTTTCAGATTTCAAACGAGCTTCATCTGAGGAACCCAAAAGACAAGAATTGCTCTCCAGGAACGAATCCCAGTATTTCAGGTTCTCGAGAGTCTTCCACATATTTCCAACATAGCGTATGATATTTCATAGTATTCACAATCTTTATTTTGTGGTGGAAATGAGAAGTGCTAGCTTTCTAGACTTAAAAAAGAATAAGAAATAGGCTTCCCACAAATTGGTGACTTATAAATCACATTATTTACATAGCAGGCATGCACATGCGCACACACACACAATTAGCATACAAAAGAATGGGCTCCATTTTTCAAAAGACAAGATTATACATTAAAAATCAACATAGGGGCCGGGCGTGGTGGCATACACCTTTAATCCTAGCACTTGGGAGGCAGACGTGGGCGGATCTTTGTGAGTTTGAGACCAGCCTGGTCTACATAGTGAGTTCCAGGACAACTGGGGCTACAAGGAGACCCCGTCTCAAAAAAGGCAAAACAAACAAACAAACAAAACATAGAACCTGAGTCTTTAAAAAACCTTAATATAAATCTAGAGATACTGAATTCTAATAGCCATAACCATTAAAATTATTCATAATTTTAAAGTCACTTTTTCATATTTTAATTGACTTACTCTTGTAATAATGTTGCATTTTAGTGAATGAGGTTGGCATTCTAACTGGCAGATAAATATTGTTGAACTACAAGAAGTTAGGCCGTTCTGTGTATTTTTTTGCTAGTGTGTATTTCCCATCTTTGACAAATTTGGTTTTCAGAATTCTTACTCCCCAGTCATTACCAATGCCCTTAATTTCATTAGTAAACATAAACACTTTAAAGTGGGGTTGGCAGGGTTGGCAAATAGCAGGTGATTGCTGAATCTGAATGTCTGATAAACTGCATTTTTTGTAATTTAAATATACTTCAAATAGTGCATGCAGCAAAATAACCCAAATTAGCCATTGTTTATCAGACACTGAATTTTGCTGAGGTCCTGCACTTTATCTGGTCACACTACTTCAGGATATTTAAATATGACTGCTGTGCGCCAATGGATCCCTCTGAATCCCTCTAAGTGGTAGCAATCCATCATTAAATAACGTAATTAGAAAAAGTACAGAATCTTTTAAAATGTGGCTACTGACAGAACCACTGGCTGGCCTGTCTGGGCCACACAGCAGAAGACACGGGTGCTCGGTGCTTAATACCTTCCTCTTTCAGCCGTCGCTCCTCCTCCTCTTGGAGCAGCCGCAGGCGCTCTGCTTTGCTTAGCTTCTTCTTCTTACTGGCAGACTGAAATAAGACAACATAAAAAGGTTACAAGCAGAAGCTGCCAGTGCCCAAGCCACTGAACACATCACTTCAAACAGAAATCATGGGGGCTGGAGCGGTGGCTCAGTGGTTAAGAGCGCAGGCTGCTCCTAAAGAGGGCCAGAGTCTGGTTCCCAGTGCCCACATAGCAGACCACAACCATCTGTAAACCCAGTTGCAGGGCATCTGACGCCCTCTTCTGGCTTTTGCAGGCATTGCACACGTGGGGCACAAATATATTTTCAGGTACATACACATACATAAAAATAAATCTTTGTGTAAAAATAGTTATGAAAACATTCTTGCTTTTATGAAGCCTATCTTTGATGTGCATTCATTCAACAGGTAAGACAGCTGCTGATTCCTGCCCAGCCTAGACTCTGGGCAGTGCAGGGATAAATCTGGAAACACATATGCAATCAGAGAAACCATTCCACAGCGCAGAAACCACGACGGGGATATGTGATTGGCATAATTCTTGAATTTTCTATTTCTAGACTGTTAAAATGCTACAAAAGAAAATTCAAAGCCACATCCCATTGTGAGAGAAATCAAATCAAATGCTGTGAAGAGAGTTTGGAAATGCTGTATCCATCATTAACATCAAGGGAAATCCTTTTATAACAGGTTGTTAGCTATTGCATCTTGTTTAGGATTTGTATTTATGTTCGTGAACTGACTTGTAATTTTCCTTTCTTATGTTATCTTTAGTCATTCAGGTAACTCAAAACGAATTAAGGAGTCTTCTTCTTCTTTTTCCTATGCTGGAAAAATTTGCTTTTGAGTGAATAGTTAGCTAAAAAAAGACTCATGGGCCTAGAATTCCTTTCTGGAGAGATTTACAACTATTCATTTAATTTTTAAAATTTATTTTTATTTTATGTGTATGAGTGTATTGCCTGCACGTGTCTAGATGTACCTGTGTCATGCAACACTAGTTGAGGTCAGAAAAGGGCATCAGATCCCCTGGAACTGGAGCTATAGACAGTTGTTAGCCACCATGTGGTGCTGGAATTTGAACCCTGGTCCTCTTCAAGAGCAGCCAATGCTCTTAACTGCTGAGCATATCTCCAGCCCAATTTAATTTTTTTTTTTTTTTGTCTTTTGAGACAGGGTCTCCTTGTAGTCCCAGCTGTCCTGGAACTCATTATGTAGACCAGGTTGGCCTCAAACTCACAAAGATCTGCCTACCTCTGCTTCCCAAGTGCTAGGATTAAAGGCGTGCACCACCACGCCCAGCTTAATTTTAAAATAATAGACATGTTCAGGTTTTCTAGTTTTTCAAAGAAATCAGTTTTTCAAGTTATTTGTCTAATTTATCTGTGTCTTCTAATTCATTAGCATATAAAGCTGTTTAAATAATGTCATTAGTTCGTGTTTTCTTGTTTTTAATTTTTATCTCTTTTCTATGTCTTTATATCTATTAAATACCAGATAATATGAATTTTGTCCTTTTTTTAAAATAAGTAAATTTTGGCTCATTTATTCAATTATTTTAATAAACCTTAAGATACTGTCACATGCTAATCTTTCAAATATATCAGTAAATCGACAGGAATCTTTGTATAGATTCTTACACTAAAATGAGAAAGCAAAAACAGTTAACTAATGCCTTACAATAAATTATAAAATAGTCTTTTTTTTTTTTTGTCTTTTTGAGACAGGGTCTCCGTACAGCCCTGATTGGCCTGGAACTTGCTATGTAGACCAGGCTAGCCTCGATCTCATAGAGATCCACCTGCCTCTGCCTCCTGAGTGCTGGGATTAAAGGCATGTGTCACCATGCCTGGTTTTTAATTATAATTTTTTTTTTGGTCTTTTTGAGACAGGGTCTCCCTGTAGCCCCAGCTGTCCTGGAAGTATGTAGACCAGGCTGACCTTGAACTCACAGAGATCCGCCTGCCTCTGCCTCCCAAATGCTGGGATTAAAGGCATGTGTATAATTTTTAAAGATTTGTTTTTATTGATGAGGATGCGTGTATCTGTGGATGGATATGGGCACAAGAGTACAGGTGCCCACAGAGGCCAGTGGATTGCCTGGATCTGGAGTTATGGATGGTTTTGAGCCACCTGATGTGGGAGCTGGGAACCAAATTCAAGTCCCTCTGCAAGGGAAGCTGCGTGCTCTTTACTGCTGACCATCTCTCCAGCTCCTAGTTATAAAGGATTTTTGAAGGTACTACAGAGGAATTGAAGAGCTCAGGCTGCTGGGGCAGCTGCAGGAAGAGCAAATTGCAACCTTAGAGTCAAGAGGTTAGCCTGGGCCTCAGGGAGGAATCATGTGAGCAAGTGCTTGAGGGCTTGGGCACAGATCTCTCCTGCGTGCTTGCCGCTGACTTCTGTTTCTGTTCTTTTTCCTTCCCCCACCCGGGGTTTTTATCCTTCTCTCTTCCTCACTGGGATACGTCATTACATTTAAGCATTTTTCTTCTTCTGACATAAATATTCAGGGCAGCCCGATTTCCCTTTGCTGTTTTAGCTACATTTCACAAATCTAAAGTATTTTCCTTATCATTAAAATAATCTTGACCCACTTCAGATGTTTGAAAGGTTCTGAGCGCACTGCATCGTCCAGTTCACACTCGATTTTGTTGCTGTTTGGTTGAGGTTACAATTCATGTTTCCAGGGGTTTCTATCCTGTGAGTTTTGAACAGCTTTATACCACAGTCTGTCAACTTTAGAACACGTACAAGGGCTGGAAATGTGTCAGGCGCTGGCTACCACGCTCTGAACGTGTCTGATCTGTTTATGCTGCTACCTGCTAGGTTACCTGCTAGGCCTGTGCTTCTTACGGTCTACGAACGGCTGCAAGGACAGACGACAAGTGCAGACCTGTCTGTTTCTCCTTGGGAGTTCTCTGACCTTGTGTGTCACATATATCAAGACTATAAGTATACAGAAGTTTAAGTTATGTTTTATATTCAAGTTTAAAATTATATTTCCTTATTCTGTCAAATCTTTGTCAGCATCGAGTGGCGCTGAGTCTACAGGCATCTCTCTCGCAGTTACTAAGTCTGCAAATACAGCCACATGCACGTTAATTTTTCTAGCGTTTCCATAGCATGGCTTTTCCATCGTTCCATCTTCAATGCTTCTGGGTCTTTATTTTTACACTTGGGCCTAAGTACTGTGTTTGCAGCGTCATGCAGCCTGGTTTGGGGTCTTCTTGGCATCTCTGAGGGTCATTCCACCACTCTCTCTCCTACTTTGAAGCTCTAAACTGCTCTATAATCTCAGTAGCCAATCCACAAAACCAACACCTAACAGCACGGCCTTCATCCTCTTGTCAATCAGTCACATTGTTTACCCATTAACCAACTGGTGAACACACAGGGTGTTTGCTGTTACAGGTCTTAGTCACACTGTTTACCCATTAACCAACTGGTGAACACACAGGGTGTTTGCTGTTACAAATCTTAGCTCAATTATTTTATGGTTTTACATTTATTTAGTGTGTGTGTATGTGTGTGGGTGCACACATACCATGGTGTTTTACATTTATTTAGTGTGTATGTGTGTGTGTGCACATACCATGGCATTTTACATTTTGTGTGTCTGTGCACGCGTGTGCTTGCACGCGCACATACCATGGCAGGCATGTGGAGGTCAGAGGACAACCTGCAGGGGTTGACCCTCTTCCCACATGTGGGTCCCAGGAACCCAATTCAGGCCCTCCAGCATGGCAGAAGCACCTTTACCCCAGAGCCATCTTGCCAGCCCTCAATTACTTTTTAAAAGTAATGTTATGTTAATTATTTTATATCTTACATATCTAATACTTCACACCTCTCCTGAAAACTAGGTTTTGTTTGTGAGAAAGTGCTTTTGTTTAAACTTTTCTGAAAACTCTTTTAGTACAGAATTGTAAGCTGGCAGTTCTCTCAGCACAGGGAAGGCACTGCCCCTGACTTCCGGGACAGAGCACGTCCTCCCTGGTTTTGCACAGGTCCCACAGGGCAGCCAAGCACAGACAGAAGCTGAGGCCTCCCACCGCTTTGGTTCCCGGTCCCTCTTGTTTCTCCTGCTCATTTCCTCCATTCCTCAGAACTTTGAAGATGGCAGTATTGGTCTGCAGTGCACAGTCAACATTTCTGTTGGTTTTTAGCAAAAAGGATAGTCCTTAAAAATCTTAATCCCAATAAAATGGAAATGGGAAAATCAAAAGGATATTTTTGATAATTTAAAAAAATCATTAGATTTTTTTTCAGTTAGAGCTTCATTTTTAGTCCATTCAGAGCACAGGATACATCTCCCATTTACCTACCTGACAAGCCCAGTCTTCGGTCTTCAACCAACTGGCCAATCAGACCCTTTTCTATCAGACACAGCCTGTATCCATCTTTTGGTATAAGTAAAGATGTAAACATGCGACCTGTGATGATCAACCTCATTTCTGAGTGCAGGTAGGTATTTTAGATATTTTTCTAAAAAATGTAATTATAGACCTGGGGCTGTGTTCAGTGGCAGACTGCCTTCCTAGCAAGCACAAGGCCAAGGTCTGGTACCCAGCATTGAAATAAACAAATAATAAAATGCAACATTAGTGTCCTGATCTTGGCTACTTAAATGCTGTTTCGTAGACACCAGGACTTAGCTGGGGCAATGTCTCAGTGGGCAACTTACTTGCCATGCAAGCACGAAGTCTTAAGCTTGGATCCCCAGCACTCACACAAAATAAGCTATGTATTAATGCATGCATCTGTAATCCCAGAGCTAGGGTGGGGGTTGGCAGAGATGGAAGGAGCCTGGAGCTCACTGGCCAGCCAGTCTAGCCAACTGGTGAGCCCCTGGCCCAAAGAAAAGACCCTATCTCAAAAACTAAGGTGGCGAGCAATAGAGGAAGACACCAGATATCAACCTCTGGCTTCCACATGAACAGACGCATGGGCGCGCACACACACAAATACACCTGCACGTGCCCCCCCCCCCCCCAAAAAGGACCCAAAATTTTAAAAACACGGAGCC